AAGAGGTTGCAAACTTTTGTTTCTTAACACCTCCAAACTAAATCTATAGCTAATGCACAACCTGTGGTATTTGTTTCAGTTCAAACTTTAGAACATCTTGATCTATTGCAGCAAAAAGGAATTCTGGGTGTGTAAGGCACTTGGATGAGAACAAATATTTAAGCGTTACACACATTTCTGCTAAATTGATTGTCTTCTTCCACTAGATGGGGCTTTCTTCATTGATGAATTAAACCATTACTTTTCCTTCAGATGTTTTTGTCCATATGCACATACATGTAAGTGTGGATGTCCCTCAAGTATCAGAGCCCTGAAATGTCCTTTCTTTTCCTTCGCCTTGCCTGTGAGAGTGCAACTTGCAATCTTGGTGCTTTTCGGTAGAAATGATGCTGTGCAGTAGTTTGTGATGTTGAGGTGGCAGTATCATTTTCTGATGCATAAAACTGGGCAGTGTACTTGTGCAAGCACATTGAGTAAATGTAGTGGCCACTCTCAAATAGTGGACTTGATGGGATGTGAATCAGTCACCATTTTGGGTTTTTTGAGTTTTTTTAAGCTCTAAATTATACAAAAGGCAGAGAAGAGATAGAAGCAGAATTAATACTTGCTGTGTAACTTAAGCCCTGCTCGTAACAATTTTGCAAGCTTTTCAAATGCTGCCCAATGAGCATGTCTTTTCAGATAGTCCAAATAGTCAGGGTCATTTCTCTTTTGCATTTTAGTGGTAGTTTTTGTTTTTCTGCAACACTGCAAAATATTTTCCCATTATTTAATTACCCAAATAACAAGTGTTTATGTGTGGTATTGGGCAAATGAAATTTCTCAAGACTGTGGATGGTGAAATGTATTCCTCCCCAAAGTACTTGCTCATTATGGATTGTTTGCGTCATTGCTATATGGGACAGGTTAGTCACTGAGATACCAGCTTTTAGTTTGGATCTGGTACTTCAGGAGGTTTTCAAGGGACTTCTGTCTATTTCATAAGGATTTTTAAAAAGCTAAAAGTAACACATGTACTAATCCTTCCAGCTACAAAAATGATAATCCTTCTGAGCATGAGCATTGCTGCTTGCCCTGCTGAGGAAGTGTAGCTACCATAAGAGTTGAGAAGAAAACCAAACTACCTCTCTTCAGAGCAATGCAGTGGTCCCAATGGTGAAGTGATCATTCAGGTAGTAAAAAACCCGATTTATATAGGATTTCCTTACTAAGAAGGCATGTCCAGCTGCTCTCAGGTGAGTGCCGCAGCTTGCTTTCCTCTAGGTGGTTTCCCGTTTTTCTGTTCAATGCTTTACCTCTACCTGTTTGTCAGAATATTTTCTTTCCCTTGTATCTTCCACCTCACTGCTGGGGAAGCTTACATACACTTACTGCCGCTATGTAAAGGAGAAATTTAATCATACATTTTTTAGGGGAACCACACAGCCTCTTCCAAGTCCACCATATGTGTGCTTTTCCCTCAGCTCCCCAAGCTGACAGGCGTGTTCCAGGAGGATTTAAAAGCGAGTTTTGATCCAGGTGCTTTTCAGGCTTCTTTGAAATCCTAGGCTGTCTGTCTGAAAGCAAAATATTTGAGTATCCTTAGGACTGAAGGTTCAAACAATTTTTGGCTTGAATGTGTTAAAAAAGATAAATGTAGCATGGCTTTGGTTCCTTTTTTTTTTTCTCCTTGTGCAAAGGCATGTCCTCCTTCATTTGAGATTGTATGATTTTTTTTTTTCCCCAGTTAATGTTGTTGTTTTAATATGTTTCAGTCTGCTCTCCTGTATTTAAATCATCCTCCTATTTACGGTTGAGCAGGATGACAAAAATAACTGTGGTCTCATAGTGAATCAGTGGAATTTTCCTGCATTTCTCCCCTGATGACTCGACCGAGTCCTAGAGAGCCTAAATGCTTTTGCATTTTCGCTTGCAAGAATGAGGTGGTTTCCCTCCTGCATTCCTGTATTTTTCCCTATCTTTCGGTCTCACCAGGGTTTGGTTTTGTTTACTACACAAACAGTAGCTACAGCATTGCACATCAGGTCATAGATCACTAGCTGAAATTAAGGTTCCTGCATGCCTTATTGAGGGTGGATTAAAAAAACCCCATGGCCCAGTGACAGCTGATTTAAATGTGTATATTGGAGGTGGAAGGGATTCCAGATTTCCTTATGGATTGCATTGTCAATTGTGTTTGGTTATTGCTTTTGCAGCCTTTAGTTTCTTCCCTTTGTTTAATGAAGAAATAAGATTTTTATTTTTTTTTACACTGACCCTCTTCTCCGTCTATCTTTTTGGCACAGAAAGGCAGTCAATGCTTGTTAACGTTGAAGAGTGGTGGTTGTTTTTAAAAACTCCCATTGTCCCCAATTACTGCAGTTTTGTATCGTCAGATAAAATACCTATTCTGTGAGGACTCATAAAGATATGCTGTAACAGCTCATCCTCCCATCCCCCCCTTCTCCTTCAGTTATCAACAGTGCGTCAGTGGAAATTTCCACCCTTTGCTAATGTGAGAGAAAGCACAAAGTTGCAAAGCAGCCTTGGAGGAAAAAAAAAACCAACACAAAACTATTGCTGTTTTAGGAACACAATGAAAAGCAGCGTATGACTTGCAAGCAGAAATGAAATTAAAATCTCAAGAAATGGTGGGACTAGAATGGTGCAGCAAAGAGCAAGGATTGCAATACGAAATAGTGTTTTTTCTAAGGAACGGAGGCATGAATGTCCTGATGGATCACAAGCTAGAATTTCTTCCTCCATCCTCCTTTCTGTTAGTTGCAACCATGAGAGGACTTGGAAGGCTTCTTCCCAAGGAGAAGAGTTAAGTGTCATCTGTTAAATTTACCAGTGGCTTTAAATGGCTTTAACAGAAAATATGACTTTCCCTTTTAAGGGGTGTGCGTCCTTCAGATGTTGCTATGCAGTATTTTAACAAACTGCCCAAGCTTAAAAACTGTTTCTCTCCCTAAACTTTTAACCTGGTGGCATCTCTTCATTTTGGAGACCAGAACACAGTAGGCAGTTTGGTTTTCCAAATATGTTAAGCCAGATCATCTTCCCCGTTGAAGCCTGGGAGGATTTGTGAGGAGGACTGAGCCCACCAGATTTCCTTCAAATCCTTGAGGCAGGTCATTCCTGTAGCTCTCAGTAGCTCTGCTGCACCTTCGCTGACGTGACCTGGCACCGGTCCCTTGGCTTCAGCGAGGCTCGGTCACAGCCCGCACCAGCTGGGTATCTGTTCTGGAGGAATCGTTGCTTCAGTATGAGCTGCAGGCAGATTTTTTTGCTGTCAGACCCCTCACATACAGGAGTTCAGTGCTTCAGTCTGATCTTTCTGGAAAAGACTTCAAGAAGCCTGCGTAAGAGCTTCAGGATGAGGATGTCTGGCTCAAGAGAAGCATCTTCATTGTGTTTTCCACGGGTGGGTTCCACCCCTGTGCAGTAATCCAGCACACGCTGCTTGAGTCATTTCTGGCACGACTCGTCTCCTCTGTGTGTAATATTTTTGCAGTAACACATTTAGTTGGATGAAAATGAACTCTCTGAGGCGTGAAGAACACAAGTGTGTCTGTCATTCATGAACCCATCTCCTGTATTACATGTTCAAACTCCCAGTTCAGCTCCTGGTCTTGGGGACTTATGCTCCAAGATTACCTTTACGAAGATGGACTGTGATGGTCTCACTATAGTTGACTTAGTAAGAATCGGTACCTCTTGCAGAACAGGTAGTCCTCTCTGTTAAGATACAGTTTTTAAATCAAACTGGGATGCTTGATTCTGCTTGTGTAATAGGACTTCATTCACTTTGGGGTTATACTGATGCTTCATGGGGAGGTGTACTTGAGTGGACCAGGAGGAAGGGGGAGCTGTAATAAGGGGATGTGTAAAGATTGAACTTAAATAGCTAGGTGGGAAGTGCTGTGCTGTACATGTAGCCTTTAAATTACTCATAGGCTTGGAAACGAGGCGAATGGTTAGTTCTCGGCAGTAGGATTTCTGAGACAGTTGCAGTGTCTTCTTGCTCTTGCCGTAGTTAGTGCCATGGCAAATGCAGACAAAATGATTAAAAAGTGTTCTGGTTACAGCTCCTGACAGTGCTGGTTCTTTCACAGCATTTCAAGGGAGAGTGGATGGCTCACTTGTTTTTTGCATTCTAACAATGGTTGGCACTAGGTTGCTTGTAACTTGCAGGCAAAACAGGCATAATGTTGCTAATGAATTTAAGGTACATCTCACGTTAGGAGGTGGGGTCTGAATTTGCATATCAGAAATTGAGTTAATGTGCAATAGTGTCCCTTCTCTGAAACAGGGCTCATGAAGTACAGTGGACCTCTTTGCTTGTTTGGGAATACTGGAATTTTAAAAGCAAAATTAGAATTGAGCAAGTGGGCATAGCCTGTACCCGGCTTCAACTCCTGACCTCATACTGAAAATTTAAGCCATGCTTGCATCAGAGATATGACCAATTTAGGATAATTCCATCTCTTTGGGTTTCTTTTGCTATTTTTTTTTTTTAATTTCCATTTGGCTCCGAAGCAGAACTTAAAAGGAAGGAATATGCCCGTGTGTGTGTGTATAAGCTTGAGATGCTTCACGCTGACATCTGTTCCCCAAAGAAACAATGCCGTGAATTCAAAGAGGGAGGATGCATGTTTCAACTGAAACGAATGTCACCCTACTACTATTTTTTTTTTTTAAAGACTATTCAAATCAAGGTATGGCAGTGAATGGAATAGGTATAAGAAGAGTTAGTTCTATTTAATCTCCATGGGTAAGAAGTGCTGTACAACAACAAGTTCAGGCTGAGCCTGCTTCAATTGAACTTTTCTTATTTGAAATCAAGGCTATTGATTTGAGCTCCTATTTCAAACCAAAAATGTACAAAAATGTAAGAAAATATTAGAAAGTTTCATTTAATAAATCCCACAGGACTTGGATTTTTTTTTTCTTTTTACTTGAATTAAAGTTGTGGCAGTACAGGCATGTTTTTATTGTGTGTATGTTTCTCATTGCAGGTATTTTTTGATAGACTTAGAGGGCCCACCTTCGATTGTATCGACCATGATGGATCATTTAGGACGTGATATTGATATAATTAGACGTGCTTTTTTAAAGCATCCTGTATCAAAGACAGAAGAATGCAGTGGCATAATCCCAGTCAACTACGAAGATAAACTAAGTGCCAAGAAGAAGTGACTGTTCCAAATAGAACGTTTGAAACTTTTAAAAAAATTTTTTATTTCTGCTTTGGAAAACAATTGTTGTAACTAACATCCATCAAAAATAATCAGTTTTGGCCATGTTATGTTTGTGGTATAGTACACTACGTTAAGTTATCGTAGCATTTCAGGTTTCTTTTTTGTTTAAAGTAATTTGAATGGAGTTAATCTGTATGCTTATCTCAATATCTGACAATTCTGAAAATTGATTTTCTTTTCTCTTAGAGCATTACATTGATAATGAAGATTTATCCATCATCAGATTGCTAAAAATAGCATTCTTTTCCAAAGACAGATTACTTCAAAATATGTATATTTACATAAAAGATTAAGAAGTCTACAGTGTAAATATAGCAGTATAGGATGTGATTTGTTGGAGGCTTTTTTGATTTGTAGGAGGTGGGGTTTTTTGCTTGTTTTTGGAAAAGGTAATAAAAGCGTGATTAAAAATAAAACTTGACTCATTTTTTAAAAGCAGAAAAAATAACTTACACTGCCAAAAGACACGTCATACTTCTTTCTTTACGGTAACAACTCTGTTCAAAATACAGGTAAAAAATTACTCCTGTAGAAAAGGCCAGAAAATTCCAGATGGTGGATAAGAGAATAACTATGCTCATATATGAACATAAGAAAAAAAGGTGATTTGTTTTGCCATCAGGTAGTCCAAGGTGGACATTTCAAACTGAGAAAAAGCAGTCTTAACAGTATCTTGTCTTTCTTTTGCTCTTGTGAAAACCAGAGAAAAAGTGATCAATGTGAAA